CTTAGGCCAGTAGTTGATAAAGTTGGCAGTGGACCTGAATCCAAAGCTTCTTCCGCTCCTCCATGATACTCCTCTCTTAGTCAGGGGACTTTTTCAAATTCACCAAAAAACTTCATGCGGGAAAAAGTTGCACATTTCATAGGTTAACTCATCACGCTGTAATTTACATATTATCTGGCTGCAAAGTATAATCAGACCCTCATAATCAGTCATAGTCATCCACTCACCTTCTCTGGTTTTAAATGCTCTCACCGTGGATTAAACAGTTAATTAAATAATTTTTTCGGCCTGTGAGGATGAGAGAAGATCCTCTTTCTTTGGGAGGCTGGAGCAAAGGGCATGAGTTTGCCCTTTGCTCAGATGAGCGTTTATGTTGTGGCTGTTCCATATGTGAGTGGTGAAACCTTTACATAGGGGTATCCTATCGGCACCTCTGCAAAATGGCAGGGAGGTGATTGGGATTGTATTGAAAGCACCCTTCAGAGTTCCTGGCTCATAAGAAATGAGCAATGTATTATAATTATTAGAATTTCTTACTTATACTTTTTAATTGTACAATGTCAGTAATGTACTGAGTAACCAGCAATGAGTAATCACTGAGTAATGTGACTCAGATCAATATTTCATTAGAAAAACTGTTACTCTCCCGGGCAGCCTTCCCTCAAAGTCCCACTGCCTCAGTGGTCACTTTTTTCCTGAGGGTTGTGTTTACCTTTGCACCTAGGAAGGAGCCAGTGTGGGCTTGGGCTCTTGGGGGCAGCAATGTTGCAGTGCCTGAATGGCATGCACTTTGATACAGCACCAGACGGTGACCCGTGCTCGGGGAGGCAGCTGGGTCGTTTTCTGGGCTATCAAGCCGCTGGTGCTTGTTTGCCGCCTCATCTGTTTGGTACCAGCTCTTCGAGTGACCCTTTTGACCCATCCTGTGCCTGTAACTTCAGATCCCAGACAGCCAGAAAGCTTCTTTACATTTGTCCCAGTTTATCTGTCTCCATTATTCATGGTGAATTGAGGGAAAGAGGCCACATGAAGAATGTTTACAGCAGGAAATGGAAAGAAGACATTGTCTTCTGCCTGGGCACCCTCAGCAGCTTGGGCAAGTGAGGCATTGGGTGGGATGGATTGAATTGCATTACCCATTTGCTGAGCGTGAGAAGCAGGTCCTGAAACATCCTCCACAGTCCCTCCCAGGGTAAGCGCCTGATCTCTCCCTCCTGGGGAGGCAAGGGGAGCAGGGTCAGTGGGGAAGCTGAAAGCAAAAGCCACACAAGGAGGGAAGGAGGAGGCAGAGTTCTTTGTTTCCTTCCTTCAGGCTTGAAAAACTTGTCATCTTTCTGGGAGATTTCAGCGATTCTCAGCATGCTCCCAACCGAGAACAACTTGACTGGAGATCAGAGCTTCAGCCGCATCATTTTTCTCCTCTCATTCACCTTCAGATTGTGACACTTTTTCAGTAACCTAGAAAACAAATATCCAAGAAACCTGAATGTCAGTTTCAGGTTTTAAAAACAGCTTTAGAACTGTAACTTTCTCCCTTGAATGACTCCTTGTATGGCCAAAGATGCTGTGATAAACGCACACTACATATTTGCATCTTCAGTGTTCTGCTCATGAATTTCCAGGACTGCTCTGTGGTCCTGAATACAGAACACCTCTGTTAGCACAGAGCAGGAATTTAAATGCATCTGGGAAACAAAATCAGTCAATAATAATGTTATTCTACATCAGATGGAGCTTATAAATGTGATCAAAATACCATCTTATAAAATCAGTGTGCATATAAATCCTTACAGTAAGAGCACTTTCTAGTGTTAGTTTTTGCAGGATTTTTCATTGTCTCCTCCTCAATTTCCACAAGTGGACAAAGCTTAAGAGAATGATTTCTAGATCTTTATCTTATAATGTAATTGTTTATCAAATACCGAAACAATCCTCAGCCAGATAGAAGGCATGCTTGGGACTGAGCATAAACACAAAGAGGAAATTGAAAATAAATTAATTTTTCCAGTTCACTTATTGCTTTCTCATATAAAATCCTGGGAATAGATGGGGCCAGAACTCTTTGTCTACTACTGAATAATTGTATTTCTAAGTATACAGCAGCATATGGTCAAAAAATCTTTATGGGTGTCAAGTCTGACTTATACAGACACAATTAATTGCAAGGTTAGTATACAAGATACTAGGCAGCTTCACTTCTTTGTAACCAAATCAGTTTGGCTTCTGTACTGAAACATCTAAGTGTGGTTACTAAGCATAGGTTGTAATAAAAAGAGGAAGAAAACTGTGATAGTCCAGCAAACTTTTGCTCATTCAGAAAAAAGAGTTCTAAAGTAACAATGAAAAAAAATCAAATATCTTCTTAAAAATATGTCACTCATGTTATTGCCTGCTCTTCCAAATGAGGCCCTTTTTCCCTCCTTTATCCCTTGGGTTCCTGGAAATATTAACGGTTATCGAGGAGAAATTTTTACCCCAAATAATGTTGTAGCTGAGACCCAGTCATAAAGAATTTTGCAACTGTAGGCTCACTTTGTGCTTTAGCTAACTCAATTGTGTTGGTTTTGCCTCCTGAAGCCTCAATACATAGAGCAAAGTATAGGTGATCAGGATGTTGTCCAACAGATCCAGTTCCAGGAAACTGTCCTGTGAATTCCTCCAGTCAGCAGGTGTTTGTGTGAGCAAGAATGAAGAAAGCAAACGAGAGTTAACAGCTGGTCAGGAGCAGTGAGTCACACCAGTAATCCCAGCACTTTGTGAGGCCGAGGTGGGCAGATCACCTGAGGTCAGGAGTTTAAGACCAGCCTGGCCAACATGGCGAAACCCCATCTTTACTAAAAATACACAAATTTGCTTAGTGTGGTGGTGCATTCCTATAATCCCAGTTACTTGAGTGGCTGAGGCAGGAGAATTGCTTGAACCCAGGAGGCAGACATTGCAGTGAGCCAAGATCGTACCATTGCACTTCAGCCTGGGTGGCAGAGTAAGACTCTGTCTCAAAAAAAAAAAGTTAACAAGCATTTATTAAGCACACATTATGCACTGTGAACCAGTAAGGTAGTAAGGTTCTAGGCTTTAGATATTGTATTTCATGCAATGCCCACAAAACCCAAGAAAAGTATTCTTCTCATTTTATGAATGAGGTAAAACTATGTATAAAGGATTGAACAGCCAGTAACTGGCGGCATTTCTGAATTCAGAGTCATTCCCTTAACAAGCAGGAGCTTTCACATTGATTAAGGCATTCAACTATCACCATAACCCAACTACAAAGTATTATTATTCTTCCCACCTTTTCCGTTGGAGTAATTCAGACAGAGGTAACTTTCTCAAGGCCACAGTTAGTAAGTGATAGAGTGAGAATTTGCACACTTTCAAAGCCTATGTTCTTTCTACCATCCCACATTGCCTCCATCAAGCATTTGGTGTACATATTTTTAGAGAGTCAGTATCCAACTTTGTATTTAAAAGACAAATATAAGAGAAAAGCATTCACAGCACCAAGAGATATAATTTTAAGGTTCTGTCCTTTTACAGAAGGGAAAGGGTAGATGAAACATTGTGCTGGCAAGGAGAATAGGCTTTAGTTTGCAGGGAAGGCAGTGCAGGAAAGGGAGTCTGTCTCTGTACCTGAGGTACAGAAGGATATACCCAGACTGCTAGGAGAAGGAATTTGTATCAAGTATAGTGATACTTGATATAAATTCCTACTAGCAATAGAAAACCCCAGAACAGTGACTTAAATAGGAGTTAATTTTTCCTGCATAACAAGAAAGCTGGTGGTGAAGGCACTAGCTGGTTCAGCTGCTCGAAGATGCTGTCAGAACCCAGCTCCTTCCTCTCCCATCGCTCCACCCTTACCCTATTGGCCTGCTCCTCGTGTGAGACAGAAGATGTTGCATCCATCCTAAAGTCAGGAGCCAAAGGGGAGAGGCTGCATCAACCACAGTGTTTCCGTATCAGCAGAAAAGCAAAAGCTTTGTCAGGCCCCTCCGGTCCCCGCAGACTTCCACTTAGGTCTCATCCAACAGGATTATGTACCATGGCCACCCCAGCAGATGAGGAGGCTGAAAGAGCAAGTACCTCCCTGGACACCTTGCCAACCCAGCAGAATTGCCTCCTCCTATGGATGGGGTGGTATGGGAAGAGAGAGAGTAAGCCCTAGTGTACAAGGCTATTGTGGAGGGGACACAAATGTGCTAGGGCAGCAAGGCTGCACTTGGTAGGAGGAAGAGGACATGAATGAGGCGGGAGTGGAATGTTGTCCTGCCCTTTGAATTTGTGATTATGTTTAAGTGGCCTCAGAGGACCATACCAGTACCTACTCCTTCCTTCATCCTGTTCTTGACACTCTTTATTCTTTCTGCCCCAATCCCAGACTGACAGCCCTTTGTGCTAAGCAACGTGATAAGAATTAGATCATCTGACTCACTGTTTTGTTTTGCTTTTTTTTTTTTTTGAGACGGAGTTTCGCTCTTGTTACCCAGGCTGGAGTGCAATGGCGCGATCTCGGCTCACCGCAGCCTCCGCCTCCTGGGTTCAGGCAATTCTCCTGCCTCAGCCTCCTGAGTAGCTGGGATTACAGGCACGCGCCACCATGCCCAGCTAATTTTTTGTAGTTTTAGTAGAGACGGGGTTTCACCATGTTGACCAGGATGGTTTTTTTAGTCCTTAGCAAATAATAGGTATTCAATACATGATTGCTTAATTAATCAATGAAGAAGATGAAGAAATTCTAGGTTGATATCAGCTGACAAGGGCCTTTGACTGCTGTGGCCAGAGGTGTTCACTGCTTCCAAGGAGAAACTACTCAGGGGCCCAGGGAGTTTGGACACTGGAATCTACCCATACAAAGGCCAGCAAAGGGGTCCAACCTCAGACAAGAGGAATCTGAGGAGCTTGATGATTTTCCAGTTTTGAGTCTCACTGAAAACACCTCTTTGGCCTTGTTGCGGCATCGTGTGATTACAGCTCCATGGTTTCCTTCTTTGTCTTTGCAGAGCCAGCTCTCCCAGGCACTGAACGGACTGTCAGACAGGGCTAAGGAAGCCAAGGAGTTTCTGGTACAGCTCCGCAACATGGTCCAGCAGATCCAGGTATGGGCATTTCCTGGGACACAATGAAACCCCACGGGCTAATATATAACTGTACGGCGGGAGAGTTTCTTTCTCCTTTTATTTTTATGCGTTATGGGAAAATTCCTTTTCGTTGTTGTTGTTGTTATTCTTTATATACAAACACATATAGAGATCAACTTCAAACATACCCCTTCTTAAGGTAGTTACTTTTTGCCAACAAGCCAGAAACACAGCCTGCTTTTCCAACTGGTTCCTGGTTCCTGGCTTCCACACTGAGGTCCTAATTCTCTACTACTAAATATGCAGAAAAAGGCCTATGTCTTTGTAAATTCAGGGTCCTTATTGCTGAGTTGGTAAGATCCTGTAGGTTCTCAAAACGCCTTGTAATAATTGTATTATTCAATGGTAACAGGTCATAGGTTTCTCTTTTTTTCATCCTTCCTTTATTTCCTTCCTGCCTTTCATTTTTTTCTTTTTTATTCCTCCCTTCTTCCTTCTTTCTTTTTTCCTTCCTTCCTTTCTTCCTTTCGTTCTTCTTTTCTTCCTCCCTGACCCACAATAATGCTTCTCCTCCATTTAGACATTTAAATATTTTTTGACCATGATCCCCTGGCAACTGTAATTTCAGATTGCTTTATCTAGACACAATGAACAGCAATTCAAGCAGCATTTAAGAGCTCATAAATTCTCCACTAGAGCTGAAGGGGAAAAACCATAAATTATATGAGACAACAAAATAATGACCCTCTTATGTTTTGAAGTTTGCCTCACAGAAATAACCTTAGCCTGTTTTTTGCTGGCCTCCAGTAAATTGACTAAGTTCATATTTCACCATGTCAAGGCAGGTATGTATTTTTAAATGGAAGCTAGCCTTTCAAAGAATTACACACTGATTTCTTTGCCTTTTTTTTTTGGCACACAGGCCCATGTTAAACTTTGATTCCCTAACAACCTAGCAGTTTTGTATACTTCCTTCTGTTTTCCAAAGCAATAGAGTTTATCAATCAGTTCTTTCTTTACTCTGCTGGCATAAAATGTACAGCCCCAGGCTTGCCTCTGCCCAGGCCTCTTCATCAGAGCAAAGCTTTCTTTCTGCTCTAAATCAGTGACCGAGCTTACAAGGAGAAGGTCTCCCCTCACCCCACACTCCAATATTACCCTGCATGTGGCATAGAGAGCTCTTAAATGATGTTTTCCAAGGGCCATCTCTGAGAGCTCAAAAGCAATTGCCTTGAAAGCCAAAATTTAGCATTGCTCAAGCAATTACTAATATATTCCTTATACGAAGATCTTGCATTTGAAAACAATTACTAAATGCCTATCTGTTGATTATTATATAAAGAGACACAGTTCTTCATGACTTTAGTAATAAATTAAAATTTGATAGGTTAAATTGTTCCTTCCTTACCAGCCCCCAAAAGTTTATAGTTTACTCAACTGAGTAGTGCTTTGTAAGTACTACTAATGTATATGTGAGTATTTAGCTTTCATTCACTGTGAATTACTTTTTTTCAGATTATGGTTTAAGAATCAAAATTGTATATGTAACTCATTGAAAGGATTATCCTTAATAAATGCATATAACTCATTGAAAGAATTGCTTAAAAGAAATGTTTATGGTATGTACAGATTTAAATCAAATAAAAATGTTATATCCAGCATTTAATTTAAACATCATGGGAAAGTTATAATTCATTTAGTATGTAGTTGCCTTTCCCCTGCAAGGTGTTGGGTCATGTCTGATTTTTATGCCAGGGTGATCGCTATTACACACATCGATTGTTTTTAACCACCTACTATTTGGTTTCCTTAATGAAAGAGGCAAGTACTTTTGCCCATTATTCTCGTATCTTATAAACTTCTGTTCTCATTGGATTATTGTTAATACTGAAGACCAGTACCATTTTCTTTCTTCTTCATTCCTTTGATTTTTAATGATTTCTTGTGCCTCAGCAATGCCCCACTCACTCCTCGTTGCCTTTTTGAATGCCAGCTTCCACCATATATAGCTAGACGTATGTGGCCCTCAAAAGTATTCATGCCCAACTCTATAAGCTAAAGCTTTGTTTTACTTAATATAATGCAAATTGTGGAAATGATTTCCTTTTGATAAATTTAAGCAATAAATATTTATCCTTTTCAATCTAAATTTAAGGAGAAACATGACCACTGTAGAATAAAGTTTATCCAGTTATTTTTTTTAATTACCAAACGTGCATTGTGGACAGAGTTCCTTTTCATTCCCTTCAGCAGGATGGGGGAGCTCTGTTTTCTCTGGCAGCCTGAGGCACCCAGCACCTTGCAGTTGAGAAATGTGCTCTATTACACAGGAGAACAGTGTGGAGTTTGAAGCCTGTCTCGTGGCCCAATGTGATGCCCTCATTGATGCCCTCAACAGAAGAAAAGCCCAGCTGCTGGCCCGTGTCAACAAAGAGCATGAGCACAAGCTGAAGGTGAGTGCTGAATCATGGGAAGAACAGAAGCCAACAAGCCAGGCTTCTGGGGGTCATGATGGACAGGCTGGGAGAATTCCTTCCCCTGGGTAGGAAGAGAGGATGATAGGGTGTCGGTTTTAGCTCTTTCCTTGCTTCTCATGTGGGCATTTATTGCTATAAATTTCCCTCTAGACACTGCTTTAAATGTGCCCCAGAGATTCTGGTACGTTGTGTCTTCCAGAATCTCTGGGACACATTTAAAGCAGTGTCTAGAGGGAAATTTAGCTCGTTGGTTTCGAAGAAGATCTTTACTTCTGCCTTCATTTCATTGTTTATCCAGTCAACATTCAAGAGCCAGTTGTTCAGTTTCCATGAAGCTGTGTGGTTCTGAGTTAGTGTCTGAATTCCGAGTTATAATTTGATTGCACTGGGGTCTGAGAGAGTGTTTGTTATGATTTTCATTCTTTTGCATTTGCTGAGGAGTGATTTACTTCCAATTATGTGATCAGTTTTAGAGTAAGTGCGATGTGGTGCTGAGAAGAATGTATATTCTGTGGATTTGGGGTGGAGAGTTCTGTAAATGTGTATTAGGTTTGCTTGGTCCAGATCTGAGTTCAAGTCCCAGATATCTTTGTTAATTTTCTGTCTCATTGATCTGTCTAATATTGACAGTGGAGTGTTAAAGTCTCCCACTATTATTGTGTAGGAGTCTTAAGTCTCTTTGTAGGTCGTTAAGAACTTGCTTTATGTATCTGGGTGCTCCTGTATTGGGTGTGTATATATTTAGGATTGTTAGCTCTTCTTGTTGCATTGATCCTTTTGCCATTATGTAATGCCCCTCTTTGTCTCTTTTGATCTTTGTTGGTTTAAAATCTATTTTATCAGAGACGGGGATTGCAACTCCTGCTTTTTTTTTTTGCTCTCCATTTGCTTGGTAAATCTTCCTCCATCCCTTTATTTTGAGCCTATATGTATCCTTGCACATGAGATGGGTTTCCTGAATACAGCACACCAATGTTTGACTTTTTATCCAATCTGCCAGTCTATGTCTTTTGATTGGAGCATTTAGCCTATTTACATTTAAGGTTAATATTATTATGTGTGAATTTGATCCTGCCATTTTGATGCTAGCTGGTTGTTTTGCCATTAGTTGAGGCAGTTTCTTCCTTGTGTCAATGCTCTTTATCATTTGGTAGTTTCTGGAGTGGCTGATACTGGTTGTTCCTTTCTATGTTTAGTGCTTCTTTCATGAGCTCTTGTAACGCAGGCCTGCTGGTGATGAAATCTCTCAGCAATTGCTTGTTCATAAAGGATTTTATTTCTTCTTCACTTATGAAGCTTAGTTTGGCTGGATATGAAATTCTAGGTTGAAAGTTATTTTCTTTAAGGATGTTGAATATTGGCCCCCACTTTCTTCTGGCTTGTAGGGTTTCTGCTGAGAGATCCACTGTGAGTCTGATGGGCTTCCCTTTGTGGGTGACACGACCTTTCTCTCTGGTTGCTCTTACCATTTTTTCCTTCATTTCGACCCTGGTGAATCTGACAATTATGTGCTTACTCTTCTTGAGGAATATCTTTGTGGTGTTCTCTGTATTTCCTGGACTTGAATATTGGCCTGCCTTGCTAGGTTGGAGAGGTTCTCCTGGATAATATCCTGAAGAGTATTTTCCAGCTTGGATTCATTCTCTCTGTCACATTCAGGTACACCTATCAAACGTAGATTAGGTCTTTTCACATAATCCCATATTTCTTGGAGGCTTTGTTCATTTCTTTTTACTCATTTTTTCTCTAATCTTGCCTTCTCATTTTATTTCATTGAGTTAATCTTCAATCTCTCATATCCTTTCTTCTGCTTGGTCCATTTGGCTATTGGCTGTTGAAACTTGTATATGCTTCATAAAGTTCTCATGTTGTGTTTTTCAGCTCCATAAATTCATTTATATTCATCTCTAAGCTGTTAATTCTTGTTAGCATCTCGTCAACCTTTTTTCAAGGTTCTTAGTTGCTTTACATTGGGTTAGAACATGTTCTTTTAGCTCAGAGAAGTTTGTTATTACCCACTCTCTGAAGCCTATTTCTGTCAATTCATCAGACTCATTCTCCATCCAGCCTTGTTCTCTTGCTGGTAAGGAGTTGTGATCCCTTGGAGGAGGAGAGGTGTTCTGGTTTTGGGTGTTTTCATCATTGTTGCACTGCTTTCTTCCCATCTTTGTGGATTTATCTACCTGTGATCTTTGTAGTTGGTGACTTTTGGATGGGGTCTCTGAGTGGATGTCCTTTTTGTTGAGGATGAAGTTATTTCTTTTTGTTTTTTAGTTTTCCTTCTAACAGGCCTCTCTGCTGTAGGACTGCTGGAGGTCCACTCCAGACCCTGCTTGCCTGGGGATCACCTGCAGCATCTGTAGAACAGTAAGGGTTGCTGCTAGTTTCATCTTCTGTTATCTTTGTCCCAGAAGGATACCTGCCAAATGTCGGCCCGAGCTCTCCTTTTTGAGGTGTCTCTGGATATACAGGGGCCGGGAAGCTGCTTGAGGAGACAGTCTGTCCCTTATAGGAGCTTAAGTGCTGAGCTGTGAGCTCCATTGTTCCGTTCAGAGCTGCTGGGCTGGTATGTTTAATCTGCTGCAGTGGAACTCGTAACTGCCTTTTTTTCCCAGGTGCTCTGTCCTGGGAAGGTAGGGCTTTATTTATAAGTTCCTGACATGCTGCTGACTTTTTTCAGAGCTTCTGTGCCAGAAAGGGGGTAGCCTAGTCACAGACTGCCAGCAGAGGCATTTCTGAGCTGCTGTGGGCTCTGTCCAGCTGCTGTGTGAACTTCCTTGCTATTTTGTTTATAGAGGTATAGTTAGAACTGCCTTGGTAATGGCAGTCTGCCTCAGTAATGACGTACTGCCTCGGTAATGGCGGACTGCCTCTGTAGTGGTGGGCTGCCTCAGTAATGGTGGACTGCCTCCGTAGTGGTGGGCTGCCTCGGTAATGGCAGACTGCCTCAGTAGTGGTGGACTGCCTCAGTAATGGCTGACACCCTTCCCCCCACAGAGCTGGACTGTCCTGGATCCAGCTGTGCTTGCTGTGAAACTCTCAATCCAGAGCGTTTCAGATTGCTGGTCTTTGTGGGGGTGGGACCTGCCGAGCCAGATCACCTGGCTCACTCTTTCAGCCCCCTTTTTTTCAGTTGAATGGGTGATTCTGTCTCCCAGGCATTCCAGGCGCCAGTTGAAACGGCCACCCAGATTTGTGTGAGTTTTTGTGCAGAGACCCACTGTACCAGCTGAAACAGCCTTGCTGGAGGCTCATGGCACTTTTCCACCCAGGAATCTCTTGTTCTGTGGGCAGTAAAAACTCGTTTGGAAATGGCAGTGATGACTCACCCTCTGCATTCTCACTGGGAACTGCACTCCAGAGCTGTTCCTATTTGGCCATCTTGGATCATCTCCTCAAAATTTTAACTTTTTTTCTTAATGGAAATATCTTTTTTGAAACATTACAAATACTTTCCTGGCATTTTAAAACAGAATATGGTGAACAGTTTGCGATAGTCACATGGTGATGGTAGGACAACTCCAGGTTTTCTTTT